GATAGATAGATAGATAGATAGATAGATAGATAGATAGATAGATAGATAGATAGATATTACCCCACCTCAAAATTGCCCTTTTTGGGGCTTGTATTATCATTACATCTGAGCATTTTTAATGCAGAACGGATGAAAAATCCTCTTTTTTACTTGCTGAATGGATTTAATGATACCTTTGCTCTGGACGTTTAAATATTCATTTATTGAGAGAGAGAGAGAGAGAGAGATACATGTGCATTTTAACATGGCTTGTAATGGATGGTGCAGACAAGCTGCCGCTGCTGCTGCCGCTGCTGCTGCTGCTGCCGCTGCTGCTGCTTTTTCAGCCTGTTTAACTGTGGAGAGCGTCTTTCTTTTTCCCCAGGACTAGGAGCAAAACCTCCCAAACCAGGTAAGTGGTGCAATCCGGCTGCTACTTTCTCGGACTGATAAAGCTACTTTCTCTGCCACTTTTTGGGACTGATAAAGCTACTTTCTCTTCTTCCCCCAGCTATGAGGTGGGTGGGCAGAAGAATATGTTGCCTGGCACGCTGGGCCAGGTGCTCTCCCTGTCTTCTACTTGGGACTTTTTTCAGCACACGGCCACTGCAGCACTTGTATCGGTGAGAGGGTTCCTTCCTGCTTCCAACTTACAGTATATGGTTGGAAGACTCAGTGGTGTTGCGCTGATCTTCTGATTCTGTTATTTTTTCTGTTTAAAGAGTTGGGATTTATTGATTACATTGATTGATTTATTGATTTCATTTCATTTCATTTATTTGCTGCCCATCTCCCCCAGAGGGTGACTCTAGGCGGCTTACAATTAAAAACCAAGGCAATAAAAACAATAAAAAAATAAATAACCCCCCCCAATTAAAATCACAAGTAACAAATCTATAAAAGCAACATACTAGCCCCTTACTCTTTTGCTCTCTTAATTCTTCTTTTAATTTCTCTGCAGGAGTTGGAGGGACTGGAGCACTAGGTATGTTTGCCATGTCTCCAAGATCTCTAGGTCGCATCAGAGATCTCTGGATCTCTGGTCAAAGGCAGAGTTCTTCCCTCATTTAGACACCGCTAATAGCAAGTTGGGAAAAGGACACTAGGTTGTGTGCAGGTCTTAAACCAATCTTTCAGTATGACCAGAGGTTCTCCATTAGCTGTTTCGCACACGTACGTTTCATGTGTCGTTGCACTGGAATGTGCATACTGTTGCTTGAATATTCACTTGCTCGCATGGCTTCTTCTTTGCTTGCACTTATTAAGATGGATTGCAAAATGATTTTAAAAATCTGGTAAAATATATCGAATAGGTTAGTTTGCACGGCAGGGACCCTAAAAGACCCCAGACAAGTGTAGCTGTCTGTAGATGAAGTCATTTGATTCAATCATGTGACTTATGGCACATCTGAGACGGCCATTGGGGATTTGTCTCTCCTCTGTCATGTTGGATTGGTTGTCTGAATCATCCAGAATAGGGCACAAAGAAGACACTGCATACTCAAGTTTGAGTTTGTATACAGGTATTCCCTGGTTAAGAATGCCCAGTTTACAGTCAACCCATAGTTAACAATGGAGCCTATTGTAGCAAAAATCAAGTTAAATACACAATGACTTGAGTTAAATGCACAATGGTTCGAGTTAATTATGCAATACTACTTATACAGTATTACATACAAATTCAGCTTAAGGACAGACCTTGGGAACGGAACTCATTCTTAAACTGGGGACTACCTGTACTATGTCAAACCACAGTACAGTTGTTTTTGGCTTACCGTGTTGTGTGAATTTAGCCATTGTGGGTTTATTCAGTAAGCCACACTTCAATAACTCAGGACAGTGTTTCAACCCAACCTGGGGTTTCCTAGTTAACAACTGATACACACAGCTGGTCCTGTCAAAAACAAATGGTGGATTTTTACAGGTGGCCTGTTTCCAGGAGGCGCCTATCCTGGTGGATCTGCTGCTGCAGCCTATAAAGCCGCCGCTAAAGCTGGTGAGTCAAAGCTGCTGTTCCCTGTTGACCTCACTTATTCTGATCGCATTTCATCTTGCCACAGACCAGACTTGGACAAAAATCATGGGTGAAGTCAAGGTCTGTTCAATTCCTCCCTGCCTTTAACCTAGCTTTCTTGATATTTGGTGCCTACATCTCTCTCTCATTCTTATAAGATCATTTCTCTATCTGCTCTCTTCCCATCTTGGCCTATAGATGATAACTCCCAAATAATATTGCAGTAACTCCTGATGTAGAAGTCATTGCATTGTGTTTCCTGTCATTAGAGGAGGCTTCCTGGGATTGCTCCCCATGAATGATTGTTCTGTCCTTGATTCTTCTTCTTTTTTTTTTTTACAAATTATTTTATTAAAGATTACAATTTACAACAATAAAAACTAAAGAAGTAAAAAAAGAAAAAGAAAAAAATAGATGGTGCAGAAAAGAAAAAAGAGAAAGAAAAATAGAAAAGAAAGAAAAAATAAGAACATAAAGAAAAAGAAAAAAATAGATGGTGCAGAAAAGAAAAAAGAGAAAGAAAAATAGAAAAGAAAGAAAAAATAAGAACATAAAGAAA